TATATATATATAGGGTGTATGTATATGCAGTACACCAGAATATGCACTGCATAAGACAAGTGTATCTGTACAATTGCGTTTCTTTCTTTTTAAAATATGTTTGAATAGATAATTAAATTTGTTGTTTTAATATAATACTGTTTGTTTGTTTGTTTGTTTGTTTGTCCTTAGAATGTCTGCTAAATCGGCATGAAGCTGCCGGCCTTGTGCTGTCTTCGGACTTTATTTTCGGGGTTTTGTTAGACTCTGCTCGCGCCATGCATTTTCTGCACTCTCCTCGAGCAGCTAAACCTCATTTGCTGCATCGCGACTTAAAACCAGCTAATATACTCATCAAGGCATGCACAAACCACAAACCCTAAACCCTAAACCACAAACCCTAGCGCTACATACATACCCTCAACCCATACTATTATAAATTACTCTGCTCAATACCCACTTTTATACCTTCACATTTTGCATTCATACGCAATTCAACGCATACACAAACTTTGAGTTTAGGGTTTAGGGTTTAGGGTTTAGGGTTTAGGGTTTGTGGACGCAGGATGGGAGAGCTCTTGTCACCGACTTTGGGGTCGCGAGGGTAGCGGAGCACCGCTACTTTGAACACGAAATGACTCAGGGCCCAGGCACTGAGGTAAACCCTAAACCCTAAACCCTAAACCCTAAACCCTAACCCTGGTGGTGGTATTTGCCTGTCCTTGGCTTGCGCAAGCTCGCTTTTTCTGTCTCTTTTCTTGCTTTGTATGAGGTCGAGCTTTATTGTCTCCTTTTACTGTGTCTCCTTCCTTCTAGTATATGCATATATATATATATATTTTACATATATATATGTATATATATATATATATATATTATATGTCTCCCTCTACTGTCTCCTTTTGTCTCTCTTTCTTTTTCTGTCTCTTTTAAATTATCTGTCTGTCTTTCTTCTTTCTGCGTCCTTTTATCTTTTATTAATTAGCTCTGTCTTTTTTGTCTCTTTTTAACTGTCTCCTGCTATTTTTAAATGTCTCCTTTTCCTTGTAACTGTCTCCTTCAGCTGTCTCCTTTAGCTTTTAACTGTCTCCTTTTAGCTGTCTTTTTTTGCTGTCTCCTTTTAACTGTCTGTCTCCTTTTAACTGTCTGTCTCCTTTTAACTGTCTCTCTCCTTTTAACTGTCTGTCTCCTTTTAACTGTCTCTCTTTTTTTAACTGTCTGTCTCCTTTTAACTGTCTGTCTCCTTTTAACTGTCTCCTTTGTGATGTTTTTAGGGGTACATTGCGCCTGAGCAGAGGACAGCAGCCTACGATAGGCCCGCTGATGTCTGGGCGTTCGGTGTAATTGCTGCTCGTCTTCTAGGATTTCCTCATTGGAAGTGTTTATCAGATTCTAAATATAAAATATCTCTGTCTTTGTTTAAACATAAGGTATACAAACCCTAAACCCTAAACCCTAAACCCTAAACCCTTAACTCTAGAAGAAACCGTGCAACAGCAGCTGTTTGAAGATGCTACAGACGTTCCTTAGCTGTAGGATGTCAGGTTCTAGGGTTTAGGGCCTAGGGTTTAGGGCCTGGGGTTTAGGGTTTTAGGGTTTAGGGTTTAGGGTTTAGGGTTTGCGCGCAGGACCCATTTTTAGTGAACTTGGCTCTGGCGTGTTTGGAGACAGATCCTCGCATGCGCCCCACCTTTGAACAAATAGTCAAGTAAACCCTAAACCCTAAACCCTAAACCCTAAACCCTAAACCCTAGGGTGGCATGGGTGGGGAGTTGTGTGCCTTTTACGCTGTTTTAGGGTTTAGGGTTTTGAGTAACGGTTTGGGGGTTGTGCTGCATTTTATCGTTTGCTGTTAATTATCTTTGTAATAATTTTATTATTATTATTATTATTATTATTAGTTTTATTATTTTATTTTTATTTATTTTGTTTTTATTTTGTTCGCTTCAATTCTGTTGTCCGGTTGGGGTGTATGGGCACAAAATTGTGTACTGCAGCAGCAGCAGCAGCAGCAGCAGCAGCAGCAGCAGCAACAGCAGCAGCATTTGGGGTGTACATGCAGCTTTGTGTGTTTTGTTTCAGCCGTATTGTTGGGGAGATATTTCGCGTAGAGATGGAGAGGGTTTTGAGCTCAGGGTATAGAGGTGTGCTGCCGCTGCAGCAGCAAGATGTTTGCTGCTGTCGTTTCGAGCAGCAGATCCACCAGATAGAGCAGCAGCACCAGCTGCAGCAGCAACTGCAGCACCAGCAGCAGCAGCAGCAGCAACTGCAGCAGCAGCAAGCCTGTGGGGCCCCACACTGCTCTGAAGACGCCCTCGCTTCACCCGGAATTCTACCAGCCCCTGCTTGGTCGTATAGGGGGGGCCCCCAGGGGGCCCCCCAGGGCTCAGTACCCCCTTTATCTCTTTCTTTAAGTGCATGCAGCTCTCCTCGTCAAGCAGTAGCGGGGCCCCCCTCAGAGGATCTTGAGGGGGGCCCCCTCTTAGACTCGCCAGGGCTTGTAGGGGAGCCACTACCAGCAGCAGCAGCCGCAGTAGCAGCAGCAGCAAATGCAGCAGCAGCTCATGCTGCCCATGGAAGATCTGTTGTTGCTGCTGCTGCTGCTGCTGCCGCTGCTGAAGCTGCTGCTGCAGATGGGGCGCATGCAAGCTTTCAAGCATCCGAAGCAGAAGGGGCCCCTGAGGGGCCCCTTGTTGGGGGCCCCCCTAGAGCTGCGATTACTCCTAGAAAGTCAGGGCTCGCATGCAGCTTGGGATCAGCAGCAGGTGCAGCAGGTGTAGCAGCAGCAGCAGCTGCTGTTGCTGCTGCACCTGCTGATGCTTCCCCAGTTGCTTCGCGGTCGTCTCCTAGGAGGAGTTTAAGGGGGCCCCTACTGGGGCCCCGCGTTGCATCTGCAGGGGCCCCCCAAGGGTGTTTAGGGGGGCCCCCTGCTGGAGAGGGTTCAGAGGGGGGTAGCGATGAAGGGGCCCTCAAGGGGCAGCAGGGGGGCCCCTCTCCCCTTAGAGGCCGAAATGGGACGCGCCGCGCGAAGCCCCACACTAGCAGCAGCAGCAGCAGCAGCAGCAGCAGTAGCAGCAGCAGCAGCAGCAGCAGCAGCTATAGGGCTGAGAGCAGCAGCGGGAGTTCGTATAGTGGGAGGGGTAAGAAAAGCAAATTATACACAAATAATAATCTAAGTACAAGGAGGGGGGGCCCCATAAGCCCGAGGAAGCTGCTAGAAAAGGGTACAGGGGTTGGGGGCCCCTCAAAGGGGGTAGGGGGGCCCCCGAAACCAGGGGGAGCCTCCAGGGCTGCCAGCAGCAGACACCGCAGTGTACAGTCATCTGCTGCTGCTGCAGCAGCAACACGAAATCTTGAAAAGGGGGCCCCCACGTAGGGGGCCCACCTCTTATGGCCTGCGGGGCCCCTGGGGGCCCCCCCGGGGGGCCCCGCTAGCTGAATACTTTTTACTTGCTCTGGGGGGCCCCTGGGGCCCCCCTTATTATTAGCTGTTGTCTATTAGCAGCCTTTTAGGGGTTTATGAGGGTATATAGAAAGAGAGAGAGGGGCAGAAGGGTTAGGAAGTAAAGATTGAAGAGAGATAGATAAGAGGCATCAAAGGAGACAGAAGAAGAAGAGACAAAAAAAAGAGGGGGGCCCCTCTATTGAAGTGCTAGGGTACAGACAGACGGCACGGGGGCCCCCTGAAGCTTCTTAGCTAGGGGGCCCCCCTCTCTCTCTCTCTCAGTTTGTTTAGTTCGCTCTAAGTTATATTATATGGCTTTTGTTTTTCTTGTATACAGCAACAGAAACAATAATATATACAACAGACAAAGAGAGACAGTTAGGGGCCAGGGGGCCCCCCACTACGCACCTATTCAGGGGCCCCCTTTTTTCTATATACTTTATTTGTTGCAGCTCGAGGCAACTATCTCTTGAAGAAGAAGCTCTTAGGGTTTAGAGCTCAACTTTAGGGTTTAGGGTTTAGGGTTTAGGGTTTACGCAGGCCTGCGCTCAGCCGCCGGACATAGCCAGCGGGGGCCCCCAAAGGCAGCACTACGACACTGTGGGGCCCCCTTATTACCCTAAGGGGCCCCTCTATTACCCTAAGGGGCTCTTAAACAGGATGGGGGGCCCCCCTTACTCTAATGAAGGGGGCCCCCGTCCCTCTAATGAAGGGGGCCCCCTTTCCTGTACCCCAAGGAGACAGCATACACCAAACCAGAAAACCTCTTCTTGCGGCTTCGGCGCCCCTCAAGTTGCTGCTGCAGCTGCTGCAGCAGCTTCAGCAGCTGCATGCAGCAGCGAAGCATATAGCCCCTCCCAGGGGCCCCCAGGGGCCCCCTCCGATACACCAGAGGGTCTGACAGAAAGGGGGGCCCCCCACCCTTCACGTAAGAGGAGGACCCAAGGACCCCAAGATAAACAACCATCAGAGGGCCCCTTAGAGGGGCCCCCAGAGGGGCCCCCAGAGGTGGGGTCAGAGGGGCCCCCAGAGGGGCCCCTAAAGGAGTTGCCAGGGGGCCCCCTGGGTACTACTAACCATCAGGAGGACCCTTCTAGAGGGGCCCCCGTTGCTGCTGCAGGGGGCCCCCCGGTTGCTGCTGCTGAGGGGCCCCTAGGGGCTGGTTTTCGTTTGAGTATGAATCTGCTGGCCGGGGTTTTAGAGTTTTTAGAGCTGCCAGACTTTTTAAGATGTCTCCTTGTCTCCAGGTAGGCTAAACCCTAAACCCTAAACCCTAAACCCTCGAGAAACCGCCACCATGACGAAATCCACAAAGAGGGAGGGCTCAGGGTTAGGGTTTAGGGTTTAGGGTTTAAGGTTTAGGGTTTGATGAGACTCCTTATGCAGGGCTTTTCATGAAGCGGCATGCAGCGCACTGACCAAAGTGAAGTCTATTGGAGAGACAGGCAAACCCTAAACCCTAAACCCTAAACCCTAAACCCTAGTCAAGCCCCTAGCTGCAAACCCTAAACCCCAAACCCTAGGCCTTGCAACTCCCAGTGTTATAGTTCTAAACAAATAAGGAAGAAAGATTTTTGCTAGTAACCCCAATCCCCCCTCTAAACCCTAAACCCTAAACCCTAATTGCAATTAGGGTTTGCCGTCTCCCCCTGCGTATTTGCTGCGCATCAGCTCGTGTGCTTCTAACAGACGAGCAGCTTAGGGTGCTCCTTAGTCGCTGGTGGGTGTAAACCCTAAACCCTAAACCCTAGGCCAACGGTTGTTGCTGGGGCTTCCTCACAGCGGCGCACTTCAGCGTGTACGGGTTTAGGGTTTAGGGTTTAGGGTTTAGGGTTTGCGCGCAGCACCAACCTCAAAACCCTAGAGCTCGATGGGTTTCTGCTAACCCCTGAGGGTCTGAGGGCCCTTCAGGGGGCCCCCTTGGAGGGCCTCGCGCTTGCAGGCATTGAAACGAAAGACGACACCTTTCTAGAAGGTACTAAACCCTAAACCCTAAACCCTAAACCCTTAGCCCGCCGGACCTGCAGAGCGTCAGTGCGAGGCTGACCCCTAAACCCTAAACCCTCGCTGTCTTTCGGTTGCGCAGCTCTAAAAGACAGCTGCAAGGGTTTGAAATCCTTTGGCTTCATTTGCTATGGCGGCGAGAAGTTCACTGAGGGGTAAACCCTAAACCCTAAACCCTAAACCCTCGTTTGCTTTTGCTGCAGCGACTGCCTTTATTGGTGGTGTTAGCTCTGTCTCTGTCTCGCTGTCCTCGGGCGTGCAGCTTAGGCTGCAAGGCAGGGGTTTAGGGTTTAGGGCTTAGGGTTTAGGGTTTGCAGGGCCTTGGCGGCGTTGGGGAGGTCCTTAGACAAACTGCATACAGCACAAATTGAAGCAAAGAGGCAGAGTGTAGCAGACATCCTTGTTGATGCTGCTGTTGCTGCTGCAGCACCCACTCTAACCAGGTACTGCTGCTGCTCTTGCTGCTGCTGCTGCTGCTCTTGCTGCTGCCCTGCTGCTGCTGCTGTTGCTGCTGTTGTTTCTTTCTTCTGCTGCGGTTGCTTCTGCTTCTGCTGCTGCTGCTGCTGCTCTTTGCGTAGCTGGTTGCTGCTGCTGAAAGCGCTGCTTTCGGAAGTGGATTCTTTCTCTAGCCTGGCGCTAGGGTTTAGGGTTTAGGGTTTAGGGTTTAGGGTTTGTTTTCAGCTTGACTGTGGGCGGCGTCACGGAGGGCTGCGTGCTGCGTATAGCTCAGCGCGTTGGTTCTAAACTGCATACATTTGGCTACACCCGGTAAACCCTAAACCCTAAACCCTAAACCCTCAAGCAGACGGCAACCACGGAGCCACCTGCCCTGTGTTTGACCGTCGCGGGTGGTATTTGGTGTTTGCTTTCAGGGTTTAGGGTTTAGGGGTTATGGTTTAGCGTCTAATGTTTAGTGTTTAGGGTTTAGGGTTTAGGGTTTAGGGTTTAGGGTTTAGGGTTTAGGGTTTGGGGTTTGCAGGCTGAACGTTGGGGGGGCCCCCGTGAACGACTCTCTTTTATCTCTCTGTGCCCTGAGGATGGGGGCCCTCACAACTCTTCGGCTCGCAGATGCACTGACACCCAAAGACCTCCAGGGGGCCCCTGGGGGCCCCCACCAGAACCTCGTAACCCTAGACCCTAAACCCTAAACCCTAAACCCTAATACCTTCTATACCACAGTCCCTCCCAAATACCAGCACTTGCCTGCAAAGTAACACTCACTTGCTGCACGGTTTAGGGTTTAGGGTTTAGGGTTTAGGGTTTAGCGTTTGTGGTGCTGCGCTCGGCAACAGCAGCCGCTAGTCACGGCGGAGGGCCTCTCACGGCTAAGACCTCTCCTCGGTAAGCCTTAAACCCTAAACCCTAAACCCTAAACCCTAATGCTTAAACCCTAAACCCTAAAAGGCAGTCTGCAGCATAGAAACCCCGACGGCTGCCTCCTGTTTGTGTCTCTCCTTTGGTGTACGTTCAAGTGGTGTGAGGGTTTAGGGTTTGGGGTGTTGGTTTGTTTCGCGCCGAGGGTTTAGGGTTTAGGGTTTAGGGTTTAGGGTTTGTCAGGTCAACTGAAGGCTTTGAGCTTGAGCCGAAGCTGCGGCCTCCCCTTCGCCGTCCTCTCAGACATAGACTGCATGGTGTTTGCTCGTTCACTCTCTGCGAACCTCCAGGAGCTCGAACTCAACGGGTCCGCAACGAGGGTTTAGGGTTTAGGGTTTAGGGTTTAGGGTTTAGGGTTTAGGGTTTACAGCTGCGCATTCAAGGTTTTACGCTTAAGGCTTAGGGCAGAGTTGCAGAGGGCCACACTATAGGGTTTAGGGTTTAGGGTTTAGGGTTTAGGGTTTAGGGTTTTTCGTGGCGGTTACCTTGGAAATGTTGTATATCTCGTCTTCACCTTTCGGGTTTATTTGTGGTTTAGATTTTAGGGTATTTGCTGTATGCCCCGTTTTAGGGTTTAGGGTTTAGGGTTTAGGGTTTATATTGTAGGGTTTAGGGTTTAGGGTTTATGGTTTGCAGGCTGCACGGGGTTTCAGACGCGTTTCTTCACGAGGCGTTGGACGCCTGCGGTTCAGGGGCCCCTGCAGAGGGTTCTGGGGGCCCCCCTTGCATGCCTTGGGGAGGGGGCCCCCGAAGCAAAAGAAAAAGAAGTAAAGAGCAGCAGCACTCTGAACGCCTTCATAGTTGGTGTCTAAGAAAGGTCTCATTTGAAGCTTCTGATATATCCGATGTGGGGCTACAAACCCTCGCAACCGCACTGGTAAACCCTAAACCCTAAACCCTAAACCACGCAACCTCTAACGCCACTCCTGCTGCTGCTGCGGTTGCAGCAGTAACAGCAACAGCAGCAGCCACAGCAGCAACAGCAGCAGCAACAGCAGCAACAGCAACGCAGCGCACAAAACCTTCGAGGGAGTACCCGTGGACACCGTAGCCCTCTTCGGGTTTAGGATTAAGGGTTTAGGGTTTAGGGTTTAGGGTTTGCTTTGGTGCAGGGCCCCAATCTGTTAAGCTTGTGCCTCAAGGGCTGCCACTCTATCAGCGAAGCAGGACTCGCAGCTGTGGCCGCTTGCTGCCCTGTAAACCCTAAACCCTAAACCCTAAACCCTATGCCCTAGGGCCTTCTGTAGGGCTACCTTGAACGCTTGGCTAGCGATGAGTAGACTCTTCCGAGTGGTGTTGCATGCGTGGTAGGATTTAGGGTTTAGTGTTTGAAAGAAGGGTTTGGAGGGATTAGGGTTTAGGGTTTAGGGTTTGCGGTGTGTACACCACAGAACCTGGAGGCTCTAAACTTAGGGGCTTGTTCGGGTGTAAACGACATGAGCGTTACTGAGCTGCTAAAAGGCTGCAGCAAGCTAAGGACAGTAGTCCTAAACGACGCCAGGTTGGCTAAGGGTTTAGGGTTTAGGGTTTAGGGTTTTAGGGTTTAGGGGTTTTAGAGTTCAGCGTAGTAGGGTTTTGGAGTTTAGGGTTTAGGGTTTAGGGATTGGAGTATGATTTGGTTGGGTTTTTTGTGTCTCTACTTGTCTGGCTCTCTCGACTTAGGGGGCGTTTGGGGTTTAGGGTTTAGGGTTTAAAGCTGAGGGTTTAGGGCTTAGGGTTTAGGGTTTAGGGTGTGTACAGGTGGCAAAGGGTTGCCGGCGGCTACGAAGTCTGCGTCTGGACGGCACGCGAACGGTAAGAAGAAGCGAATGCCTTTGAGCAAAACCCTAAACCCTTGTTATATGGTTTTAGGGTTTAGGGTTTAGGGTTTAGGGTTTAGGGTTTGTGTTTGTGGGGCTCAGTCGAACGCAGGCGTTGCTGCAGTAGCACAACATCTATGCCGCCTCGAGTTCTTTCATTTAAGCCGCTGTTTATATCTAACTGGGGGCTGTCTCCTATCTTTTTCTGCTGTCTCTCATCCATCTCTAAAGTGTATTACTATGCCCAGCACCCACGTCTCCCAACAACAGGCTCAAGCCTTCAGGTCCCCTAAACCCTAAACCCTAAACCCTCAAAGTCTACTGGGGACATAACTAGGTTCGCCCCCCTAACCTCAACAACTCACCAGATAGCAACGTGTTGGCTGTCTGAGGGTTTAGGGTTTAGGGTTTGGATTAATACACAGGGGTCGGGGATAGGGCTTACAACCCCATGAGAACAGCGGGGGCTACATCCCTAGGGTTTAGGGTTTAGGGTTTATTAGGGTTTGTGCGCGCAGAGAACGAAATCCAAATGCTCTACTGAAGCTAGAAGACCCTTAAAATGAAGGGCCCCCTAAACCCTCAACCTGTTTCTTTTAAGGCCTCTACGAGGCCCCAAAGTATATTTTAAGGGGCCCCCTTAAGAGGCTCTGTTGAGGGGCCCCCCTGAGGGGCCCCCGTTAAGGGGCCTCTTTTAAGGGGCCCCCTTTAGGGGCCTCCTTTAGAAGCCCTCTTTAAGGGCTCTCTTTGAAGACCCCCTTTAAGGGCCCCCTTTGAGGGCCCTCTTTAAGGGCCCCAATCTGAGGGCCCCCTTTAAGGGCCCCCTTTAGGGGCCCCCATTAGGGGCCCATAGGGATAGCCAAGGGCCTGCTCTAAGGGCCCCCTTTCATCTCCCCCAGGGGCCCCCAGGGGCCCCCAAGGGCCCCTTTGAAGGGCTTCGTTCAGGGGCCCCCAAGAGACACAAAGTTCGCCCTTGGGGACCCAAGGGGCCCCCTAGAAGACGTTTTTGTATGCCCACATGCGGGTGCTGCTTTCATTCAGGGGCCCCCCGGGTGGCTCCTGCCTGGTTTATGTAGCGTTTGTTTGTTAGTCGCTGGTGTATATACACCTCATTAGTTCTTTACCCCTGACTAAGTACTGCATTTTTATATAGCTAGCTTCTTTTTAAATGCTTAACCAATTGGGTGTAGGGGTTTATTGCTGCATTCTATTGCCACGTTAAAGAGAAGAAGAAGAAGCCCCTAAATGGCTTATGCATATTAACTCCTAATACCCCTTGAGGGCCCTACGTCTCAGGGGCCCTAGGGGAGCTCTTTAAGGGTTTGTTGCTGCAGATAAGGCCTTTGGGGCCCCTACTTGAGGCCCAGATGGAGGCCCTTTAGGGGCTTGGGGGGCCACTATTTTAATTACAGTTGGGGGCCCTTTTAGATAAATAGGGGCCCCTATTTCAAGCTACTTTGGGGGCCCCCTAGGAAAGCACAAGAGGGGCCCCTAGTTAATAATAGTTGAGTTGGGGGCCCCTTTCGAAGGTATTTGGCTTTATTTCATTGTATTTTTCGTATAAATATTCAAAAATAGCTTTTAGTTGTATATTTTTCTTGAATTTTTAATTTATTTCAGCTCTTTTAGATGCACAGACACCTCAAGCTCAGCGGCGTGGTGACCCCCCGGGCTCGCCGCCTTTAAGCTGCGGAGTCTTTGGGGGCCCTTTACGTTTGAAAAACAATAAAATTCTAATTTTTTTGTTTAAAATATTAAATAAAAGAGAAATTGAGGTGTATCTGTAGCGCATATATACAGCTCCTACAAGCTAACGCAACAGAAGACCCTTCTCTATGGCCCCCTCTAAGGGGCCCCCTCCTGAAGAGGGGCCCCCAGGGGCCCCCCAGTTTATTCCTCTGGAGCCCTTGAAGCCTCTGGGGAGGCCGGAAGCCTTTGCTGAGATTCCTCCTGCATACCCTGGGCACAAGCTGGGGTGTACGTACACCTCAACGAATGAACTCAAGGGGCCCCTGGAGGCGAAAGGCGCTGTGGATGGCCCCGAGGGGGCCCCTAAGTTTAAAGACCCTGCCTTTAAGGAGGCCCCCACGATCCCTCCCGAGTTGCTGGGACCCTTCGTTGGTTGGACAAGAGCTATACACTTGGGGTCCCCCAAACCTCCTTATGAAGCTCTTGAGTCTGCGGACATCTCTGCCTCTCCTTCTCTTCCTAGCGAGCCTGCTGCTGCAGCAGCAGAAGCAGCAGCTTTAACCTCAGCCTCTTCAAAGCGTAGCAAACCCCCTAAGGGGGCCCCCTCTAGCTCTAAAGGGAAGGATGTCCCCCAGCCTCTTCCTCCAGAAGAGCCTTCTTACATTTTGCACAACCGTAAGAGGGCCCCTAACCTTCCTCAATCAGAAGGGGGCCCTCAGAGTTCTCCTATTAAATCTGTAGGCAACAGCAAAGGGCCTCTAGAGGCCTCAGGGGCCCCCATTGGGGCCCCCCCTCCTGTGGGTGGGGGCCTCCAGCAGGAGTTGAATGCAAAATATGGAGACAAGCTCCTTTCTCATACTTGTCTAGATTTAGGGGGCCCCCCTGCACCAGGCACTGTATGCTGTACCCCTCCTGGTACCTGTCCTGGGGCCCCCCCTATTGGCCCCCCTGGTGGGGGCCCCAATGGAGTAGGGGCCCCCTGTGGATCTGTAGGGGCCCCCCCGGAGGGTGCCCCTACAGATATAGGGGCTTGTAGTAGTATAGGACGTTGTTGTATGATAGTGCACTTGAAGAGTTTCTGTACGCGACGCTTTAGTTTAGGAGAGCTTCCTGGGGGCCCCCTTGGACAGTATCTGCACTCAGTTTTTAGTTTTATCGCCGAGTGTGCAGCATATATCCCTAGAGGTTTATTCTTGTGGGAGTTAATACACCCCCAATCAGAAGGGGGCCTGCCTCTACTAAACCCCTCTGGGGACTATACTGTTAGGCTTTATTTAGAGGGCTGCTGGAGGCCTATACAAATTGACGATACAATACCCTATGCCGGCCCCTCACAAGCCCCTGTCTTCCCAGTCTCTAACGAACCTAGAGAGATATGGGGACCCCTACTAGCTAAGGCTATACTCAAAGCATTCAGGGGCCCTCTTGCAGCAGGGTTGGGGCCCCCACCTGTTATTGAAGCCCTTACCGGCAGAAAAGAAGTACTCCTCCCTCTGTCTCCTTCACTTGTCTCTTCTTACTGTCTTAAGGGCCTCTGGGCTTCGGTTAGGCTAAAGACACAACCCTGCTCTCCTGCTGCTGCTCCTGCTGCTTCTGCTGCTGCTGCTGCTGGAGAAGAAGGTGCAGCAACAGAAAAGGAAGCAGCAGCAGGAAGGGGGGCAGGAGGGACCCTTCAGGGGCCCCTTGGGGGGGGCCCCATTGAGGAGATGTTAGGCTGGAGGCCCTTTCTGCTTGCAGCAGCAAGAGAAGGAGACAACCCTGCAGTGTCTCTGCTTAATCGGCAGTCGGGTGGGGGGCCCCTGCAGCAGCTAGCGGGGCCCCCTGGGGGTTTGTTTGCTTCGCAGGGGCTGGAGGAGTTAGGGGGCCCCCGGGGGGCCCCCAACAAAGGGGGCCCCCAGGTAGGGGGGGGCCCCCAGCTGCCCTATGAACAATATCTAACAGACTTCAGTGGGGCCCTCCCTCTTAGTAGCCCTCAGCATCCGTTTAATAAAGAAGAGGAGCAGCAACGGAGAGCAGCAGCAGCAGCTGCTGCTGCTGCTGCACCTCCTGAAGTTCTGCGAGAAAAAGAAGGGGGCCCCATCATCGTTCGGAGGCCCTTTGCAGTGCTGCTGCAGCACCTGCTTGGGGGGGGCCCCCCACTACCAACAGAAATAGATATTGATGACCCTGGGGGCCCCCCTGTTGCTGACGGGGGTGGGGAGGCCCCTGAAGGAGACAGAAGGCCCTCAGAAGCACATCCAGGGGCCCCTGCAGCAGCAACAGCAGAACAAGAAGGAGGGTCTCCTCGGGTGAGAGACAGCGGCAACCCTCAAAGCAACACGGAGACGCCTAGGGCAGTGGGGACAGCATCGGGGGCTGCTGCTTCCTCCCGCCGCAGCAGCGCCACACATCTCGTAAGACTGCTGTTGCTGCTGCTGCTGCTGCAGATAGTGGTGGTGCTGCTGCTGATGCTGGTGGTAGTGCTGCTGCTGATGGAGATGATGGTGCTGCTGTTCCTGATAGCGGTGCTGCTGCGGTTGCTGCTCTTCTGCTGCTGCTGATGGTGCTGCTAGTATTGATAGTGGTGCTGCCCTCACGCTGCTGCTGCTGCAGCTTCTGCAGCAGCTGCTTATTTTGCGACAGCGCTTCTGTTGTGGCTTCTGCTGCTGCTCTTGCTGCTGCTGCTGCTGCTGCAGAATAAATCTGCTATCATTCAGGAGGCCCTGAAGACGTGGGGAGTGCCCTGGGCTACAGGGGGGCCCCCACCAGTACCCCCTGAGGGCCTCCGACTTGAAGGGGGCCCCTGGGTCCCTTGGGAGGCGCTGTTGGGGGCCCTTGCACCCAGGCGCTGCAGCATCTGTAGCAGCAGCAGCAGCGGCAGCAGCAGCAGCAGCAGCTGCTGCTGCTGCTGCTGCTGGCAGGGCCCCACCTTTTCGGTGTTTCTGTCGGAGCAGGGCTTAGAGGAGGCCCCCCTGCGCGATTTGTATGAATATGATTGGGGGCCCCTGTCTCTCCAGCTGCCGCTGAGGGCCTCAGTCTGTCTCCTTAACATTCCCAAGAAGAGACTGTTCCCCCCAGCAGCAGCAGCAGCAGCAGGAGCAGCAGGAGTTTCTAGTAGCAGCACTGCTGCTGCGGGGGAGGCAACAGAGACAGCTGCAGCAAACAGGAGACGCCTATTAAATTACTTCAGGCCCCACACACTTATTTTGTCTCTTCAAGGGACCCCCTTGCTGCTGGAGGGGGCCCACGGAGACACTCAACAGGGGGGCCCCGTTAGGGAGACAGGGGGCCCCCCTGACGGGGAGGGCACCAACGAGCAGCAGCAGCAGCAGCAGCAGCAGCAGCAGCAACAGCAGCAACAACAGCAGCAGCAGCAAGAGACAGCCTGCCATCTCCTCAACCTGGATACAATAATTCCGCAGTGGGCCTCAAAGACGCCGCAGGTCAATGCTTGGCTTGCTGCTGCTGCTGCTGCTGCTGCTGCTGCTGCTGGAAATGGTGGTGGTGGTGGTGGTGCTGCTGCTGCTGCTTGCTGCACGGGTGCAGTTACGGATGCTGCTGGGAGCGCAGGAAGCGCTGCTGCTGCTGCTGCTGCTGCGGAGTTTGCTGCAGCAGCACAGCTGCTGATGGGCCCCGAGAGCGTTAACACGCTGGCTACGGGGTGGGGTAGTTGGGGGGCCCCCAAGTGCAGCAGCAGATCTGCTGCTGCTGCTGCAGGTTTGCTGCTGCAGCGCATTAAGGGGGCCCTATTGACAGAAGATGTGGGGGTCCCTAGCTTAGGGGCAGAGAGGAGGGCCCCCCAGATGCTGCATCTAGCTAGGGGCCTCAGCAGTTTGCTGCTGCACGGAGAGGGGGGGGGCCCTGTCTCCTGTCTCCTCGAGCTGGGGGCCGGGGTATTTGCCTTTCTTGTTCTATTGAGGGCCCCTGCAGCAGCAGCACCTTTGACTGTCTCTTGGAGGAGGCCCCTGCTGCAGCCGCAGCAGCTGCAGCAGCAAGCGGAGGGTGCTGCTGCAGCTGCTGCGCAGCAGCAGCAGCAGAGCAAGCGCAAGGGGCCCTCAAATGACCCCTCAGGGGCCCCTGGGGCTTTACCTAGAGACGGTGGGGGGGCCCCCCAGGCAGCAGCGCAGGGGCCCCCGGAGGCCCCCTGCATGCACCTCAGCGTAGAGAGTTTCTTAGGGGCCCCCCCGCTCTCCTTTTGTGTGCAGCAGTACCCTATTGTAGGGCCCGAGAGGGGGCCCCCCGGCTGCCACTCGATATGGTATAAGGCAGAGGTTGAGGCCCTCTGGAGCCTCTCATGGGGGCCCCCCTATTTGCTGCTGCTGCTGCAGGTACCGCATGCAGGTCTAGGGCCCCTCCTCCGTCTCTCTTTGACTCCCCTGGGGCCCCCTGTCTGTGTACCTGCTGCTGCAGCAGGGGGCCCCCTTGCTGCTAAAGGGGCCCCACAAGAACAGCAGCAACAACGAACTGCAGCCCTAAACCTCGGGGCCTCTCATCTTCGTTGTCTCCCTTTGCTTCCTTTCTTAAAGGTGCCCCTGACTGAGCCCCACATGCACCAGCTGCAGCAGCAGCAGCAGCAGCAGCAGCAGTACTATGCGAGCAGGTATCTGCTGCTGCTTGAGGCTGCACTCCCTACCCCTTCAAGAGCTGTTCATTGTTCTTTAAGTATTGCACTGCCTCCTCAGGGGCCCCCGGGGCCCCCAGAGGCCCCTGTGGGGCCCCTTGCTGCTGCTGAGGGGCCCCCAACTGCGGATGCTTCTATCAAAGAACCAGCAGGGGGGGGGCCCCCTGGGAGCCCCTGTACCCTTAGCTCTGTCTCTCCTCAGAGGCCCCTATCTATTCAAACCCTTCCTCTTAGCTTTAAGGCCGTCTGGCAGGGGGCCCCCCTAGGGGGCCCCTGTGGGCCCCCAGAGCTCTCCGACCTCTGTGGGGGCCCCTACGGAGAAGCAATTCTTCTCTGCAACCACAGGCTTGTTGTTAGGGGCCCCCAGGTAGGGCGCTTCTCCCTCAGCCTCACAGTAGAAGGGGGGCCCCCGGGGGCCCCCCGGGCCCTGCTGTGTGCGCAGCTGCTGCAACTGGTGAGAGGGGGGCCCCCCCCTGAGACCCCAGCAGAGAGACACCCTATAGAAGACAGCAGCCGCTACACTCAGGATCTGCAGCACGATGCAGCATTAGCTGCTGCAACAGCAGCAGCAACAGCAGCAGGAGCAGGAACAGCAGCAGCAACAGGAGCAGCAGCAGCAGCAGCTCTTAGGGGCCCTTCTTCTGCCCTGAAAGGCCACCCCTCAAGGCGTGCTGCAGCAGATACCGATGAGGGGCCCCTACTCAATGAGGAGCGCCTCCAGCCTCCAGAGGAGTTGTTGCTGCTGCAGCAGGAGGCCCCTTGCTGCTGCATCTTTGCTGATATTCATTTGCTGCCGGGTGTCCCCTATGTACTGAGGGCCCACTACTACGACCCACGCAGCACCGCGCCTCTCTCCCCTACCTCTACCAGCAGCAGCAGCAGCAGCAACAGCAGCAGCAGCAGCAGCAACAGCAGCAGCAGCAGCAGGTTGAGCTGGGTGCTGGAGGCAACTGGCAGCAGTGAATTGGCTGTGGGCCCCGATATAACAAAAGAAGAAGTTGCTGCAGCATGGAGGGAGCCCTACGACAGCGGGAGGGGCCCCCAAGGGGCTTTGAGTAGAAAGCAGTACCTTCAGGGGCCCCCAGCAACCGTTGCTAGGGGGCCCCTCTTTGGGGGCCCCCCTCTAAGCAGCACAGATAACCTGGGGGCCCCCAACCCCATCTCCCTGCAGCATCTGCTGCAGCTTATCTACTGGAAGCTCAATATTAACCTCCTGCAGTTTGTAGAGGCACTCCAAGCAGAGGCACAGCAGCAGCAACAGCAGCAGCAGCAGCAGCAACAGCAGCAGCAGCAGCAGCAGCAGCAACAGCAGCAGCAGCAGCAGCAGCAGGATCCCGCTGAGGCCCCCAACTGGCGAGAGCCAAAGAAGCTGCCGTCTTCTGGGGGCCCCCAAGTTGAAGAGCGCAACAGCAAATACCCTACAGGGGGGCCCCCAGAGACAGAAGAAGGAGAGGGCCCCTTTGAGCTGACTCAAGAGATATTCTGCTGCAGCAAGCTGCTGACTGAGGGGCCCCTCAGCCTCTGGATTGGGGGCCCAGAGGCCCTGAAGCGGCTGTATATAGAGAGTGTGGGGCCAGCGCTTGCTGCAGCAGGGGGGCCCCAGACACCGCAGCAAATTGCTGCTGCTCTAGAGAAGGCTGCAGCAGGGGCCTCTCTTAAAGGCAGAGACGAGGAAGGGGGGCCCCCCAAAGGAGTAGGAAGAGACAAGAAGTTAGCACCGGGGGCCCCTGACAAGAAACTCAGGGGGCCCCCCGAGAAGGGGAAGGGGGGCCCCGCAGCAGCTGGAGGCAGCAGGGGCCCCCAGTCAAAAGGAAGCAGAGAGGAGACAAAGAGAGACAGGGGTCTCTCGTTTGTCTCTCCTGAGGGCCCCCTTCTGTTATCTTCACCTCCCCAGCTCCTTAAGGGGCCCCTACAGCCTGAGCTGTACGTACACCCCGAGCTTAAGCGTTTTGTTGCTTCTATTTCAGGAGAGTTTCCCTCTCGTGTTGTGAGACCCCACACTTATGGGGGGCCCCCCGAGGGGCCCCTATGGGGGGCCCCCGAAGGGGCCCTATGGGGGGCCCCCGAGGGGCCCCTTTGGGGGGGGCCCCCGTTCTCCTTGTCTCTGGGGGCCCCCCACGAAGAACCTGAGGCCCCCTGGGGGGCCCCCCTAGATGAAAATGCTACAGAGACAACAGAAGAGCTGACGGAGGCGTGGGAGGAGACTGTCTCCTACATTGGGGGCGTGCGCGCCCTGCTGCAGCAGCAGCAGGAGCAGCAGCAAGAGCAGCAGCAGGAGCAGCAGCAGCAGCAGCAAGAGCAGCAGCAAGAAGGCACGGAAGAGGAAGAAGGAGGCGGGGCAACAGGCTCAGGGGGCCCCCCTCAGCAGGGCCCCTTAAGCCCTCTACTGAGGGTTAGGGGCCCCCAAATTGAAGCGCGGGAGGCCCTAAGGCTGCTGCAGCAGAAGCGGCAGGAGGTGCTGTCTGCTGCTGCAGAGATAATGAACGAAGAAGCAGCAAAAGAAATAAAAGCAGAGACACTCGCAAAACTGCTGCAGCAAATGCAGCAAGCAAAACTGAGGGGGCCCCACAAACAAACAGAAGAAAAACTACAAAATACCCTCGCCTTATACAAAGCAGCACAAAGGTACATCAGCTGCTGCTGCTGCTGCTGCTGCTTGCTGCTGCTGCTGCTGCTTGCTGCTGCTGCTGCTGCTGCTTGCTGCATTCTTTCCTCCTGGCTTCTTGTTCCCGGCCTTGCTGCTGCTGCTGCTGCTGCTGCTGACTGCCGTTGCTGGCGCTCTGTAGACCCGCTGCGTTGCTCCGTGCTGCAATTGCTGCAGCAGTTGCTGCAGCAGTTGCTGCAGCAGTTGCTGGTGTTTCTGCAGGCTGCAGCTTGTGTTTGATGTGCTGTCTCTACCCCAGAAGATTGCTTATCTGTTGCTGTTGTCTCCCCTGCTGCTGTTGCTGCTGCTGCTACTGGCGTTTCTGCTGCTACAGAATGCAGGATATTTTGGAGAGGCCTGGGGGCGGCAGCAGCAGCAGCAGCAGCAGCAGCAGCAGCAGCAGCAGCAGTCCTTCAGGGAAGAAGGAAGATCGTCGGGGGCCTAAGAAGCGGCAAGAAAGAGACAGTGAAAATATCGTCTTGACTCCAAAGGAGACAGAAGAAATTAAACGTCTCCTTGCTGCTACGGGGGCCCTCGAGCTGCTGTCTCCATCTGTGAGGCCCCTCTGTCCCCCTAAACTCTCTTCTATCATTGCCTGGGCTACTGAGGCCCTCAACTCTCGTAAGGAGCAAACCAACGAAACCCTAAACCCTAAACCCTAAACCCTAAATAACGGCTACGCCCCTTGGGGGCCCCCTAGAGGGGCCCCTACACAAACTATCGCGGCTTAAGAGGGCCCTAAAGAGATTTTAAGAAAGAGAGGGGCCCCCCTTCACCTATGCATGGGGGCCCCTCTTCATATAACCATCGAGGTCTCCTCTTAATCAAATCAAGGGCCCCCGGGGGCCCCAAGGGGCCCCCAGGTTTCCCTGCTAAACCCTACTGAACTCATTTGAGCTTAAAGGGGGCCCCCAAGGGGCCCCCACCAATCTTCTGTTTTAAAGGAGGGTACTAAACCCCTCCTCCCCTGGGGGCCCCGCTGGAATGAGGCCTTCCTCTTGGGGGCCCCCCGGAGTGGGGGGGCCCCGAGGGCCTTGGGGGCCCCCTTGTGTATGCCCCTACAGATTTAGAGGGGGGCCCCCCGGCGGGGGCCCTCGTTGATTTGGGGGCCCCCCTGAAGTTGGTATTCCCTCTGGGGCCTGCTCGTGGGGGCCCCCCTCTATCCCTATCTCTATCTCTATCTTTATTAGCACTGCGTCTTGTACGTGTAGTAGGGGGCCCCTGCCCTGTTGTTTGAGGGGCCCCCTCTGGGGGCCCCTCTGGGGGCCCCTGATGTAGGGGGCCCCCTCCGTCTGTTTGCTGCTGGGAGCCCCACTGCTGCATTAACTGCTCATAAAAAATAGCCTCTTCAGCAAGAAGTATTGCTAAGGCTGTCTCCTTCTCCTCTGCTTCGATCTCTGCTAAGCTGGGGCCCCGTGCTGCTGTACCCTGTATCCTTGCTGCTGCAGCAGGGCCCCAACAGTTGCAGCTGGGATCGTTAGTGGGGGCCCCCCGAGCCTTTAAGGGGGCCCCTCGAGCCTTTAAGGGGGCCCCCGTTCGCACTGAAGAAAGAGGGGCCTCAGAAGCACGCACCCGAGCCTGCAGCAGCAGCTGCTCCTCTTGCTGCTGCTGCTGCTGCTGCCGCTGCTGCAGCTCCTCCTCCATGACCTGCCGAATACTTGTCGTTGCGGGGGCCCCCACCCCTGCTTTGGGGGGCCCCCAAGCCCTTCTCTCTCCTGTCGGCCCCCCTCCAGTCACGGGCTGTTGCTGTTGCTGTTGCTGTTGCTGTTGCTGTTGCTGGTGATGGTGCTGCTGCTGCTGCTGCTCAGCAGGGGTCCCCCCTTCTTCTCGCAGCTGCTGCTGCAGCTTCAGGAACCTTCTGCTGGGCTTAACGCGCACAAGTGTCTCTAAAGATATCTGAAAGGGGGCGCCTCTGGTTGCTGCTGCTGCTGGTGCTGCTGCTGCTGGCGAGGGCCCTTGGGAGGCCCCCCCTAACGGAGATGCTGCTGCAGCAAGTAACTGGGAGGCCCCACTAGTCACTGCTGCCGGGGTCCCCTGGGGGCCCCGTAGAGGGCCCTCCTGGGGGGGAGGGGTCAGGGGGGCCCCCAGCGAGCTGGCTGAAGGGGGCCCCGTAGCAGCAAACCGGGGGCCCCTAATAGGAGGGTTTGCTGCTGAGCTGCTGCCCTCTAATAAAGGGCCCACACAGGGGCGGGGCCCCCGAGGGCCCCGTGCATGCTGCCATTCATCAGTCGTTTCCTGCTGCTGTTGCTGCTGCTGCTGCTGCTCATGCGCAGATGCTGCAGAAGGAGAGGCCCCCAGTAGCTGCTGCTGCTTCTGCTGCTGCTGCTTCTTCTGCTGCTCTTGCTGCTGCTGCTCAATGTGGCGTTGCTTCTGCTTCTCCTGGTGCTTCTGCCGTTTCTGCTGTTTGCGGTCTTTGTTGGGTTGCTGCATTTGCTGCTGCTGCATTTGCTGCTGCTGTGTGTGCTGCTGCTGCGTTTGCTGCTGGTGCTCCTTTAAGGGGCCCCCGGTGCTGAGCCCCTCAGCAGCAGTATCTGTAAGAAAGTCTGCAGCATTGAGGGGGCCCCCCTCAGCAGCAAAAAGAGACAGCCAGATATCACGAGGGGGCCCCCTAACGTAACCCAGAAGGGCCCCCGGAGTGAGAGAGATAAGGGAGAAGACAGCAGGCAGGGGCCCCTCTATTGGGGGGCCCCCCATCTGCTGCTCTCCCCAAGAAGATGACGGGGGGCCCCCCTGCATGCAGTGGTATTCAGGGGGGCCCCTAAGACCCTCAGACAACTCTTCGGGGGGCCCCTCGGGGGCCCCCTCATCAGGGGCCCCCACGCGGAGGGGGCCCCCACTAAGGGCCCCTGCATCAGCTAGCTGCGCCAGCAACAGCTGCATGCCTGCAGCAGCAGCACGATGCAGTAGGAGCGGCTGGTGGGCGTGGTGCTGCTGCTGCTGCAGCTGCAGCAACAGCAGCGGAAGGTTCAGCAGCAGAGCGCAGCAGCAGAAATCAAATAGCTGCGGCAGCAGCAACCGCGTACATATACCTGAAAGCTGCAGCAAATCTGCGAGCCCTGTACACCTCAACGCTAATCTCCCGCAACAGAGAGACACGAGAGAAGGGAACCCTTCTTGCTGCTGCTGCTGCTGCTGCTGTTGCTGCTGCTGCTGCTCCTGTTGCTGTTCATGCTGTTGCTGCTGTTGCTGTTGCTCCTGTTGCTGCTGCAGTCGTTGCCGCTGCTGCTGCTCCTGTTGCTGTTCCTGCAGTTGCTGCCGCCGCCGTTGCTGTTGCTGCTGCTTCTGCTGTTGTTGTTGCTGCTGCTGCTGCTGCACCATAGGAAAGTAAGGGGGGTATTCGGGGAGGATGAAGGAGACAACAGCAGCCCCGTGGCAGCTGCTGGCTGATGCTGCTGCGACGCCTCCCAGAGGCAGCAGCTGAGGCGTGCCTACAGCCACTGCAGCAGCAGCAACAGCAGCAGCAGCAGCAGGAGAAGCAGCAGCAGCAGCAGCAGCAGGATCCGAACCTGTCTCTGCTTTTAGGGGTAGTGAGTATAAAAGACCTTCTGGTGTCAGCCCCAGCAATTTAAAAGGGCCCCCAAAGCAGATGCTAGCAAACTTAGGTAGAGGCTGCTGCGGGGGGCCCCCTGCAGGGGGCCCCCTGTGGGGCCCCTGCAAAGAGCAGTCCTGGGGGCCCCCGGTGTGAGAGAGGAGACACATCTCTGCTGGCCGTACACCGGAGCGCCACACGCATAATCTGCATGCACCCCACACACCAGCAACAGCAGCAGCAGCAACAGCAGTAGCACAAAACGGCAGTGGGAGAAGGCATCAGCAAAAGCAGCGCAAGATATCATCACCTGCTGCAGCACTAGCAGCAGCAGCAGCAGCAGCAGCAGCAGCAGCACGAGCACCCACGACGGAAGAACCCCCACTAACAGTACCATTAGCAGGAACAGCAGGAACAGCAGCAACAGCAGCAGCAACAGCAGCTGCAGCAAATTCTGTGTGGGTCTGTAGAGCTCTTCACGGGGGGCCGCTACAGGGGCCCCTGGGGGCCCCCCGAGTATTTATTTAGAGGGTACTGACTGTCCTTCTGCTGTGAGGGCAGCTCCAGCAAAGTCTCCTACACAAATAAAAAGCAGCGAGGGGGCCCCGTGGTTCATCGGCTGCTGCTGCCACTCACCAGGGGCCCCCAGAGGGGGGCCCCCAGCAACGCCTGAAGATCGAGCGAAGCGGACGGGGAGGGGCTTGAAAAACAACTCCCAGTTCTTGCTGCTGCTGCTGCTGCTGCTGCTGCTGCTTGGTCTGCTGCCTATGCTGCCTCGGTGGCCTGTTGAGGGCTGAGTGGAGTGTTCTTGTCGTCGCCGCTGCTGCTGCTGCTGCTGCTGGTGTTGCTGGTGTTGCTGCTGCTGCTGCTGCTGCGGGTTCGGAGCTGAGGCAGGGGCTGGTGCAGGTGTGGGGGCTGCACCCCACACAAAGACCTCTGCAGCAGCAGCAGCCGAAGCAGCAAAAGCAGCAGCAAAAACAGCAACAGGGAAGAAATGTGAAATTGAAGGGCTTCCTCTAGAAGCAGCAGCAGCAGTAGCAGCAGCAGCAGCAGCAGCAGCAGCAGCAGCACAGCCAGCAGCAGCAGCAGCATAGAGCCGGTAATATCATCACCATCAGCAGCAGCAGCAGTAGCAGCGGCAGAAACACCCAAAATCCACGCATCTTATTTTCTGCTGCTGCTGCTGCTGCTGCTGTTGCTGCTGCTGCTGCCTCTTTTCTCGCTGCTGGGCTTACGCTGTGGGGCCCTAGCAAAAGCAGCAGAAGCAGCACCTCCTGCTGCTAGCTGCAGCACAGGAGGGAGACAAAGCACTTCAGGCGAAGAGACGAAGGAGACAGAAGGAGACAGCCCACACTGCCCCCGGTCGTTCGAGCCCAGCGCCAGCGTCGTCCCTGAATAAAACCCTAAACCCTAAACCCTAAACCCTAAACCCTAAACCCTAAACCCCAAAGGTAAGACGCCATACAGGGGTTTGGCTGACGCAGCAGCACAATGTATGCAGCAGCACAATGTATGCAGCAGCACAATATAAGTAATCAACGCGCGAGGGTTTAGGGTTTAGGGTTTAGGGTTTAGGTCTCTTTACCATCATTGAGAAGCAGCAGCGCGTGTCTATCTCCAGCAGCAACAGAAGAGACAGACAGCCGCAGGGGCCCCTTCAGGGGCAGCGGCAACTCAGCAGCAGCACCCGCTGCTCCCAGGCCTAATCGAGGGGGGCCCCCGGGGGGCCCCCTAGGGGGTTTTGTGAGTGTCTCTAAGTGTGTCTTTAAGGGCCCCCACACCTCTCCCTTGTTTGGGGGCCCCTCGGAGGAGTAGCACATCAACTGGGGGCCCCCATAAGAAGAAGGGGCCCCTTTGCTAGAGCCTCCTGCTGCTGCTGCTGCTGCTGTTGCTGCTGTTGCTGCTGTTGCTGCTGCACTTCCTGCTGCTGCCGTCCCGCCCCACAGAGGGTCCGGGCCCCACACAAAGAGAAAAGATTCTTCACTCCTACTACCTTCTAATGGAGGGGCCCCCTGGGGGCCCTTGGGGGCCCCCCTCTTTACTAAAGCGAGTCCGTGGCGTGTACCTAGAGCAACCTGAGGAGACACCCCAAGAGAAGACCCTCAGCAAATGCATGCAGCAACACATCAAGAAGAGGGGCCCCCTTGGGGGCCCCCCGTTCCCCTGCTTTTTGAATCAAAGCAAGTGGACCCCCGTAGCCCTAGGGGCCCCCCTATGCTACGAGGAAAAAGGAGAGGGGGCCCCTCAGGGGGGCCCCTGATGAGGGTCTAGGGTATATCTGGCTTGCCTGAGCGATGCGAGTAGAGGCCTCGGGGGCCCCTGCTGCAGCAGGGGGCCCCTTAGAAGTACGAGAAGAAGGGAAGGGGAGAGAGAGAGGCTGCGGCTCTACGATAACTCCGCTGCTGCCGCCTGCTGTGGGGCCCCACACCCAGAGGGTCCCTCTTGTTGCTGCTGCTGAAGCAGCAGGGCCGCAGCAAACTCCTGTGACGCATAAACAGCTCGAAGGCAAACAGTTAGGGCCCCCACAGCTGCTGCAGCTGCTGCAGCGCAAACCCTGTTGCCGCTGCTGCTGCTGCTGCTCCCTCTGCCGCTGCTGCTCCCGCTGCTGCTGCTGCTGCTGCTGCTGCTGCTGCAGTTCATTTGTAATCTTTAAGGGTACTCTGGTAGGGGCCTTATCTCTTTTGTCTCCGCGACAAGAGAAAGGAGGGAGACCCAAAAGAAAGGAATCTTGCAAGCCCCAGGTGTACAGGCACCTCAACAACCGCACACCTAAGGGGGCCCCCAGGGGGCCCCCAGGGGCCCCCAAATCGCTCGATAAGCAAAACGATGAGACCCAGGGGGCCCCCACAGGCAGCAAAGCAAACTGAGACAGTCGCGCAGCCTCTGCAGCAGGAGGGAGGGGCCCCCCCTCGCAGTTCTTGCAGCCCTGGGGGGCCCCCTCAAGACCCTCAGAGGGGCCCCCTAGGGGCCCCAAGCAATCAGCGCACAGAGGTAAGAAACGACAGAAGCATGAAGGAGCAGCAGCAGCACCTGCTGCAGCAGCAGCAGCACCAGCAGCAGCGGGTCTAGAAGCTGCGGGATCTTCTATCTTGCTGCTGCTGATGCTGCTGCTACAGGGTTCATCCGCGCTGCTGCTGCTGCTAAGGAGCCCTCCTTTGAATGCGTTTCTGAGGGCAGCTGCTGCTAGCCGGCAAACTTCTTTCGGTGGTTGCAGCTGCAGCAGTTCAGCAGGGGCCCCTGGGGGGCCCCCCAACTGCAGCAGCTGAAGAGCACAAAGAAGATTGCCTCTCCTAAGGAGCCGAGATATACCTAAAGCAGTGCAGCTGCTGCAGCAGCGCAGACACCGCAAGAGGTTGCAGGGGGCCCCCCAGGCCTCCCAAGTCAGGTCCTGGGGGGCCCCCCAAACCCCAAGGGCCCCCAGGGGCCCTTGGGGCCCCTGGGGCCCCTCGGGTTTGGGGGCCCCCCTGGGCTTTGTAGCAGCCGGGGGCCCCTGTGTACAGCTGAGCATAAGAAATATAAAAGTAGCAGGGGCCCCTATCGTGCACGGGGGCCCCCTGCTTATTTGTTTGTTGTCTGTCTTGCTGAGATAAACAAGACAGTGAACAAACAAGAAAAAGAAGTAGAATTATAGAGGAGGCAGCAGCAAAGCGAAGGGTCCGGTGCAGCAGCAAGGGGCCCCCAGTAGCTGCTGCTTGGGGCCCCCAAGAGGGTTTATTAAGGAAGCAGAAAAATAAATATAATAAATAAAATAAAAATAATCGAACGATGCAAATGCACAAGATAATTAATACACCAGAAGACAGCAGGGGCCCCCCGACGTATAATAGACAGAGGGGGCCCCTTGTCTCTCTCTAAACGAAGCTACTGAGGGGCCCCCAACCTATGTTGCTGCTGCTGCTGCTGCAGTAGCAGCAGCAGCAGCAGCAGTTTTATCCCTAAAGAAAGAAGCTCAGGAGTTATTAGTTTTTCTTATAGGGCCCCAGGTGTTTGGTGTAGAGGGCCTCAGTGTTTAGGGGGCCCCCCCATAGAAGGGGCCCCTCTATACCCGAGTATAGAGCAGCAAACAGCAGCCAGTAAAGAGTAAAATAAACAAAAATATTATAAACAAAAGGCAGGAAATATGCAGCAATAAACGAAGTATATTGCATAACGAACAACAACAAATCAAGGGGGCCCCTTAGGCTTAGGGGGGCCCCCTCTGTCTTTATATAGGGTACTGAAGAGGCCCTTGGGGGCCCCCAATGTCTTCTCTATTAAAACCCCTTCGCTTCTCATCTCTCGAAGAAACAAACATAGGCAGCAGGAAGCCACTGTTGCTGCTGCTGCAGCTGCCGCTGCTGCTGCTGCAGCTGCAGCTCCTACTGCTGCGGCTGCCGCTGCTGCTGCTGCTGCCTTTGCTGCTGCTTCTGCTGCAAGGGGGCCCGCAGGGGGTCGGCTGCTTCCGCATCATTGGCAGTTCGCCTAACAGCAGCAGCAGCAACAGCAGCAGCAGCAGCAGCAGCAGCAACAGGGGAACACCGGATTTAAGGGGCCCCCTGAGAGTTTTGCTTCCTTCAGCGCCGAGCAGATGCTGCTATAGGGGGCCCCTTACATTGTTGGGGGCCCCCTATAGAGGGGGGGGCCCCCGTGTTTGCTGTTCAGCGCTGCAGCAGCCTGTGGGGGGCCCCCTATTCGCAGCAGCAGCAGCAGCAGCAGAAGCAACAGCAGCAGAAATTCTCTCGCCTGAACCACGAGAGGTACCCCAACACATTGAGAGGCCTCCATACGCGCAGCAGCAAGCAGCAGCAGCAGCAGCAGCAGCAGCAGCTGAAGAAGATGAAGAAGAAGACGAAGATTATTCAAAACAGCCAATGCCCCCACCGCTAACCCCTGAGGAGATTGACAGTACGACTGGTTTTGCTGCTGCTGCTGCCTTTGCTGCAGCTGCTGCCTTTGCTGCTGCAGCTGCTGGTTCTGCTGCTGCAGCGCTAGGTTTTGCTGCTGTTTTTTTTGCTGTTTCTGCTGCGAGTATTTCTGCTGCTGTTTCTCCGGCTGCTACTGTTGCTGGTACTGCAGCAAGAGCTGTTGCTGCTGCTGCTGTTGCTGTTGCTGCTGCTGCTGCTACAGGGCTGCGTGATGCCTGTCGGCTGACCCGTTTTGTGTTGGAGTGCGCAATGGGCCTCATCTCCCCTCCTCCCTCTCCAGACCAGCAGCAGCAGCAGCAGCAGCAACAGCAGCAGCAACAGCAGCAGCAGCAGCAGCAGCAGCAGCGGGAGGAGTTACGAGGGAACGGTTACGTATGGCGGGGCCCTTGTGCAGGTGTATGGTCTGAGCGTTGGCTTGCAGCAGCAGACAAAGTTGCTGCTGCAGTTGTTTCTTCGGGCTTGCCTCTCAGCGGTTTGCTGCTGGATTACTTTGCGCATAATTTGTCTGTCTCCTTGGGAGCCTATCCATCGTCTCTTCATTATAAAGGCTTCAAAAGAAGCTGCTGCGTCTCCCCCGACCATATACTCTGCCACGGTACCCTGCTGCTGCTGCTCCTGCTGCTGCTGCTGCTGCTGCTGCTGCTGTTTGTTGCTGCTGTTGCTGCTGCTGTTTGTTGTTGCTGCTGCTGCTGTTGTTTGTTATTGCTGCTGCTGCTTTTGTTGTTTGTTGTTGTTGCTGCTGCTGCTGTTGTTGTTTGTTGTTGTTTGCTGCTGCTGCTGTTGTTTGCTGCTGCTGCTGCTGTTTGTTGCTGCTGCTATCAGTGTTGCTGCTGCTGCAGGGGCTGCTGCAGCTGCTGCTAAATTGCCGCTACGAATGCCGCTTTTGCTGTTGCTGCTGCTGCTGGTGTTTTTGCTGCAACTTGTTAGCTGCTGCTGCATCCCTAATATGCCTGCTGCTGCTTCTTCTTCTGCAGCAGCAGCAGCAGTGCATGAGCAGCAGCAGCAGCTGTTGCTGTTTGTTGCTGCTGCAGGTGTGCCTACAGCAGAGCCGTTTAAGCCAGGGTCTCTGGTCTCATTAGACTTAGCGTTATATTTCAATGGTTTTCACGGAGACTGCTGCTCCTCAGCTCTGTACCTACCGCAGCAGGGGGCCCCGGGGGCCCCTGGGGGCCCCCTTCCTACTCGGGCGGAGCTGCAGCAGAAGCAGCAGCTGCTAGCAGCAGCAAAAACTGCAGCAGAGAGAGGCATACAAGCCTGCAGAGAAGGTGCCCCGTAAGCGAAGCTGTGCTCCTGCTGTTTTGCTGCTGTTGTTTCGCTGCTGCTGCTGCAGTACCTGCTGCTGCTGCTGCTGCTGCTGCTGCTTTTCCGTTATTGTGCTGCTATTGCTGCTGCTGCTGCACTGCTGCTGGATTTGCTGCTGGTGCTGCAGCTGCATCAGCAGGTGGTTTTGTGTATGCATTTGTCGGTTTATTTATTATCTTTTAATTAATTAATTAATTAATTTGTTTGTTTGTTTGTTTATTTATTTAGTTTGTCGTCTGTAGGCCTCGCTATTGAAGCATTTTTAGCTGCTGAGGGTCTTCATACACCCCCGCAGTTCTGCGGCCACGGCGTCGGCAGAAACTTTCATCAGCCCCCTCTTGTAATTAATTTACTGTCTCCTTTAGACTCTTTTGTTTGTTTTGTTTGTCTCCTTTAGACTCTTTTGTTTGTTTTGTTTGTCTCTCTTGTAATTAATTTGCTGTCTCCTCTCTCTTCTTTTTTGTTTGATTTGTTTGCCTCCTTTCTTTTGTTGTTTGTCTTTGTCTGTCTCTTCTTTCATCTCTTGAAATAATCTGTCTCTCTCTTGTCTCCTTGCTGTCTCTTTTCTACCTCTTTGCTGTCCCTTTGCTGTCCCTTTGCTGTCCCTTTGCTGTCTG